TTGGTAGGTCATCTGACTGCTCTTCTTCGTCAGGCTCTCCTCCCTGCTGCTCAACCAGACTGCGCATCTCACCTCAGTGTTATGGTGAGGCCTATCCACCTTTCGGACACTCTCTCTCATTATATTTGATTTATTAGCTTCAATTCTAATTATATTGTATTATAATGTGTTATCTTGCATTCTGATACCATACTTAGTAAATTAGTTTGTTTCTCCTCAGATCGCTGCTGCTGTTTTTTATTATTTTGGGGTCCCCTGTTTCCCTTTTCCAGAGGTGCAGATTTTTGTGAAATCCCTCTGCCCCGCTCGTCACGGAACCGGGCCGAAGCAGCCCGTAAACCGTTGACACTCATTAAGTGATTGGGCAAACAGCAGGTCAGTAGCAAAGTGACTTCTATCAGTGTGCTTGTCCTCTGGACCACTGCCTCCCCATCGCTAGCAAAGGTAATGCCAACTATTTGAAGACATCAGCGGGCATATTTAGAGCCTAAGATGAAATGAGCACGTTTGCTGTGTTAGAGGCAGTTGCTAAATTGTAAGTAACTAAGTCTTGTTCAGTAACTGCATTGCACTCAAGGGAACAATTTAGGTTTTGAATTGTATATGTTAGTAAGTGAAAACTATGTAGACATTGATTATTTTTTTCCCCTTGACCCAATCATTGTTTGCCTATGGCAATATCTGATACGTTATGTGTTCAAGAATTGTCTTGGGACCACAATGAGGCTTTTTTTTTCTTTGAAGCTTCATTAGTAATCATAGTTACATTAGGCATGGAAGGCAGTGGGGTAATATAGAGCTGTAGAGCTCTACACCAATTTTTCTACTCATGAAGGTGGAAGTGAACTCTGCAGGTGAGGCTCCGAATTAAGTTAGTATAGGCAGTTGAGTTCAGATTTTTATCTTCTAACTTTTGTGCATTTTACATAATACAAAATACAGAAAACAAATTTACAAAATTTTTTCTCTATTATCAGTTATGATTAAAAAAAAATCCATTCTTAATTTCCCCTTATCTTATTTGTAGTCTAATTATGTACTTTTTCTGATAATACTGGGTAATCTGGAAATGATGCAGAGTGAAAAAACATTTAGTAACATGTGTTTTAATTTTCTGAACAGAAGAAGCTGCTAAAAGTAAATGGCATAAGTAGGGGAGAAGAATATTTTCTCTTCTCCCCTACCCTGGGAATCTGATGTATATCACCTTTTAGAAAGGTGACGTGAATTCCAGCAGAATTCCTTCAATATATCTTCAACTTTTTTGGCATACTGTTGATCCCTTCAAATGCTTAGCTTGTTTCCGGGTTAAAATACTTGGTTGTAGTGAAAGGCTTACGCTAAAATGTTTGAAAGACGAACTTTTAAATTTGACCTAGAAGTCTTGTACCTAAAGACCTGATAACTCTACTTGTTCAGTATAGCATTAGCAACTAAAACCTTCCCTCAAGAATACTTGCATGTATTTCCACACATATGAGGCCAGTCCGGTAACCTAACAAAATATAGATTTGTTTTGTATTTCTGATAACTAATTCTAGCATAAAACACCTTTTCTGTTTTTATTTGCCTGTGTGCTTTCCAGATGCTCAGCTGGCAACTAGAGTGGCTTTTGGTTCAGGTTGGAGCATCCATTTTGCATTATCTTTTCTTTCTTTTTTTTCCCCCCAAAGTATGTATGCATGATGGAGTATTGCTTTTTTCCTCCTGAAAATGTGTTGTGGAAAAGTTAGGGTGTTGTAAGATCCAGTAAGCAGAAACAGGATCAGAAAGAGATGGTCAGCCTTGGGAGTCTTATGGGGCAATGTTGCTGTCACAAGATAGATATTGAGGAATAGGGCTGTGCTTCTGATGTTTGTTTCCACATGAGAGAGGCAGTGTGGCAGACTCATCTGGCTGTATCAATGGCATGACATGCTAGCCTGAAGCACAGAGTTGAAGAAACTGCTTAATGCTGTCTCTATCCATCTGTAATACCAGCTCCTATTGCTATTAAATGATACGCCTATACAGACCTTATTTTTCCCTCCTTAGGTGTAACTGAGATTAAGATATCAGAAATATACATGAGGCCATCCTGCTTCTTTTCTCAGCTTCATCTTTAAAACAAACAAAACCAGTGTGGTCCTGGCTTTCTCTCCCTAGTCTTTGGATTTTTGCCTAGTATATGAAATAATACCTTACTCTTAGAAAGCGCTGACTCTTTAATTTGCTGTTTTGCTGCACAGCCATTACGGAAAGTGGCCAACAGAGTCAGCTATAAGTGAAAGTCTGTTAGAACAGCTGACTTCAATATGGTAGATGTTTCTTTATTAGCTTGAAAATAATTGTTCTTTGTATTCTATTTAGGGCCGTGCACGGCTAGGAAGCTCTATGGAGATGAGAGGCTTTTCATTAAATTACTCCATTTTGCACCTCTAAGGCTGTTCAGGACAGCTTCTCATGGGTCTGGAACCTCTCCTGAAGATGCTTAACCTTACCCATAGGTAGCACTCGTTAACAACACATTTGGAACTTGATTTTCAAAACACAACATTTTCCTTCTTCATGTTGTAAAGAGTCAGTTAACTGGCAGTCTTACTGCCACTTCTGAAATTTATGTGGACCAATAGTGATTAAATCATTTATAGCAACAATTTAGTCATTTATTGCTATTATTGTCCCCTTTTTGACTTTTTGAGGGCTTAATTACCGTTAGCTGATATGTTAATAAAGACCACTTTCATAGCTTAGCTAAGACTATACCAGTAAACTATTTCCTGATTTTTTTTTATTTGCTGTAGTAGTATTGAAATACTGTATTTTGTATTAATATTTGTATTAAGGATGAGCCCATGTGGTTTATGAGGTGGCTGACTGAGTTGGTAGGATAGGGCAAACAAAACAATCTTTCAGTTATTTCTGGTAAATAAGACGAATAATCTATTTCTGTAAATCTAGAAATATTTGTTCTCAGGAGGAAGCAACATACATGTTTAAGCAACTTTACTTTTTCAGAGTTGATTTGGGATCTCTTGCTTTGTGTAAGCATAAAAACATGAAAATTTGTGCTGCTCCTACATGGGATTCAAGTTTAAATTGTCCAGATAAAACTGAAAGCATCATAACTTTTTTGCTTGTCTGTTGTTTGAAGTAGTTGGAAGAACACTGCCAGACAGCTCTTAAAAATATGCTTCAATCAGGTTTTACACAGTTTATCAAGCATGTTCCAAAAATAATACCAAGCGCATCAAAGAATGTAGTAGAGAAGGAATAAGCTGTGGTCTGTCCCTAACACACAGTCTGCAGGGACTCATTTCTTGAGGTTTCATGGTCTCAATCTCTAATTTTTAAATGATTTGTTTCTGTTATGTTTTTGTCTTTATTTCATGTCATTCTGTTTAGCCTGCGTTTTGTGAGTTTGTATTTAGAATATCCATTTCATCACTGTGTCTTCCTTTAACAGTTAAAAATAAACCTATCGTATAGCATCAGTTGGAAACAACTCATTTGCAGTAATCAAGAAGGAAGCAAGCTGGTACTTACCCAGTCAAATTCAGCTTTTGTGTGCCATAGGAATAGCTGCTGGAAAACATGAAAATGAAAAAATGCAGATGCAGTCATTTCAGGAGAAATCTTCCCTATGAGTAATGAAAGCACCTTCTTTGGACAGAGAAGGGAATATGAAAATGTTGGTCTCACATGAGGGGATAATACCGATTTCCTCAAAGCATCCTTTCATAGCTGATTTTTCTCAAATGCTGCACTTTTCCCCACTTTCTCCTTTTCCCCTTCTCCTCTCCCAAATCTTTCTGTAATGTTCACTCCTGGCCCAAAGTGGTGTATGGCATTATTATACCTTTGTGTTACAAAACTGAAATTTTTAAAATGAAAATAATGATTTATAATAAAAAGCCTGACAGGCTAATTACAGTATTGCATTAATTATTATCTTATTTCAGCTCTGTTCCTCTCTCAGCCAATTCAGATCTGTCTTTTTGGTGTTTTTTTAATCCCAGTTGACACTGTAATTTTGAGAGAGAGACTATATTGGGAACAATATACGTATAAAGTCAAGAAATTAAAATTGTCAGAAGAGTACTTTATTTCTAAAATGTTGCCTTTGACATGTTTGTTATAGAATGCAAGTAGTTCTGTTTCTATTTGGAGCTTTGTGGATCTTCTGATGAGTGTAACACTTATATATCACATATCACAACCCTCAAAATCTTCCTTTTCTGGATATCTTCGTAGCATGTACTGCAGGGCAGTCATTAATTTAGAAATTTGTGCATTGTGCAGCTAATTTGATGCATTTTATATTCTGAATTTTATTTTTTCTCCCAAAACATGTGCCAGTTTATCATTGAGATACAGAATGATGTCGGTGCCACCAAAACAGCCTCAGGATTGCAATTTGAAGCTCCTCTAGCAAAATACACATATTCACAGGTGGTGAAGCTGAAGTTGAATGCAAATCCCATTGGTGAATTTCATGTAAATGTCAGTAAGGAAAGAGCTCATAGCAACACCCAAGTTTGGGAAATTGAGCACAGTAGTTTGCAGAAATGGGGACTTGAAGGTATATTGGTTGCAATAGTTTTCAGTTTTTATTTGAACTTCCAGGTGGCACAGCAGGTGCACTGGATGCCCCATCCCTGGAGGCATTCAAAGCCAGACTGGATGTGGCTCTGGGCAGCCTGGTCTGCTGGTTGGCGACCCTGCACATAGCAGGGGGGTTGAAACTAGATGACCATTGTGGTCCTTTTCAACCCAGGCCATTCTATGATTCTATGATATTAAGCAAGAAAGCGTTTGAAAATTTTGACAAATATTGTTGTAATGAATGTCCAGTAGCAAAGGAAGTAGAGATGAAAGATGACATGGACTCGGTTGTGTGGTGTGGTGGTTAGATTCCTCCAATCTTCCTGCCTCATGTCCTACACTGTCTTGACTGTCTTTGTTTCCTAACAAAGTTCTGGGAATCGTTTCTGACAGTTTGCTCTGTTTACATTTTGCAGGATGCTTCATCAGCAGATATTCGGAAAGCTTATAGGAAGCTTTCACTGATTTTACACCCAGACAAGAACAAAGATGAAAATGCAGAAACACAGTTTAGGCAAGTAAGTGCAATGTGTGGTTATACAAGCTTTGTGAAAATAGGATCAGATTTTTATAGAATTATGGCATCTTAGTAAAAACAATGAATCTATTTTTTTTTTCTTTTTTTAAATCTTTACAGACCAAAACCATGAGACTGCTATCATTAGTTCAGCCTTTAAAATATGCTGATGAATAACTACTAGCTACTTAATTTAAAGAAGAACTTTTGGATGAAACAAATGATACATAGCTTGTTGTTGTTTGTTTCTTTGTTTGTAACTGAGACACAAGTCTCAGTTGCTTGTTTGTGTCTCTGACCGCAGCTTTTATATGATTGTCACTGTTTCATTTGCACATGGAGTCTCATTCATAATGCTGTAAGGAGAAAAGTGGAAACTACAAAAGAGCTTTTTTTTTTTGCAAATGTAACATGTGATACTATTATTAATATTTTACAAACTCTATTCTAAAGTAATATTAAGTATTTCTTTTTGTGTTTTTGTTGTAGTTGGTGGCTATCTATGAGATTTTAAAGGATGAAGAAAGAAGAAAGAGGTGAGTTAATCTGCAGTTTCCTAAATATTCATTTATGCCAGTGATAAACTGAAGTCCTTTTTGTCTTAAATGTAACTATTTGGATAATTTTTGCATAATTTCAGTTTGTAATTCTTCTGATTGTGGGCTGAAAGGGGAAACTGATAGGCATTTTTGTGTGATATGTTCATTATCCTCCTTTAAAAGCTTTGAAAACCACCCAGTATTTGGAGCAAATCATTGTTTTAACATTTCCCAACTGTATCACTTTTTTGGATTGTGTTAAATGTTGTCGTCTGTTTTATTAAAGCTGTGGTTGAACTTACAGTTCTTGATTCAACTGTCAGTCATAACTCAGTGTTCCAAGAAAAGTTTCTTTGCGTGATATTTGGGGTTATCTTCAATTTATACCTTCTTTAACATTTTTTCTGCTCTTTATTTTATTGCTTTTCTTTTTGATGTGTTGTCTATGGTATTTTAAACTTTGATGTGAATACAATATTTTATTGACAATTGATAATTGTCCCCGCAACTTTGGAAGCAGGTCCAGAAATATGTGAAGGGGTTAGGACTGAAAACTGAAAAGCTATGCTTTTCTGGAAGATTTTGTTGTTGTTGTTTTGTTTTTCTTCTTAAGAGGCTGTCCAAATGAGCTAATGATTGTATGGGAAATAGAGCCATTGTAGAAGTACATTTATGTTGCAGTTCTAGTGAAGCATCTTTTGGTTTACAAGTCTAAGTTGGGGATTGTGAGGCATTTCTTGAAGGATTTTTGGTTTCTTGTCATGGCTCCTGGTTTGATAGTACACAGGGTGCAGTCTTTGATCCTTTCATCAAGTGTCATGAAAACGTACTTCAGAGAAGTACTTTTGAAAATTGGTAGTTTTTTTTCATTTCTCCTCTCACCAGAGATTGTTCTTGTGAAGTTCTAATCGAAGAAACGTTAAAATAAACAAGTTTTTAGCTAAGTGGTTTCAGACTAGTTGAAAAGTTGGTTGTCCCAAACATTTTCTCACTTTTTTGTTTGTAACTTTGCTTACGTCTGCGATGTGATATTTTGGAACTTATTTGGAACTTATTTCCAGCCTGAAACTACTGGGGATTACCTTGCAGATGTTATGGTGTCTTTTTTCATGGAACAGTAGTGAAGTAGCTTATGAAAATTGTTTTTAATTGTACACATTATGAAAGTTACTAATTTAACCAGCTTGTTTGAGCAAATGTTATTAATTAGTATAGCACAGTAATAGATAATGAAAAGTTAAAGCAGAAATGGATTGCTCCAGCTTATATTGATTTCATCATCAGTAACTTCTTTTGCACATAGGCAGCAATATCTTTTGTATTTTTGTTTGCAGTGCAGATGTGGTTGTGGTTGATCCTGCTTCTGTCACTGATTAAGCATAAGTATAGTTGAATAAAATAGCATTTACTGTCAGCTAATTTCTTGGAAATGATATGCAGGATAAGCTGGAGAGTTGGGTGGAGAGGAACTGAATGACTGAACAAGAACAAACACAAAGTCCTACACCTGGGAGGAATAACTGCATGCATCAGTGCAGGTTAGGGGCTGACCTGCTGGAGTGGAGCTCTGTAGAGAAGGACCAGCATGTCCTGGTGGGCAGCAGGTTTGCTTTGAGCAGCAGTGTGCCCCTGTGGCCAAGAAGGCCAGTGGTATCCTGAAGTGTGTTAAAAATAACGTGGCCAGCGGGTCAAGGGGGAGGTAATCCTCCTCCCTCTACTCTGCCCTGGTGAGGCCACATCTGGAGTGCTGTGTCCAGTTCGGGCTCCTCTGTTCAAAAAAGACAGGGAACTTCCGGAGAGAGCCCAACAGAGGGTGACAAAGATTATTGGAAGCCAGGAGCATCTCCCTTATGCGAAAAGACAGACCTGGGGCTGTTCAGCCTGGAGAAGAGAAGACTGCAGGAGGGATTATCAATGCATGTAAATAAATACCTGATGGGCAGGAGTCAAGTGGATGCAGCCAGGCTCTTTTCAGTGGTGCTGAGTGACAAAACAAGGGGCAGTAGGCATAGGAAAGGCAAACTAGAACATACTAAGTTCCATACAAACGTGAGAAAAAACTTATTTACTGTGAAGGTGACAGAGCAGTGGAGCAGGCTGCTGAGAAAGGTTGTGGAGTCTCCTTCTCTAGAGATCTTCAGAAATTGCCTGGATGCTTTCCTGTGTGACCTGCTGTAGGGAATCTGCTTTAGTAGGGGGTTGGTCTAGCTTATTCCAGAGGTCCCTTCAGTTATGTGATTCTGTGATTTAGGAATAATGTGAACTAGATGATCTTAGAGGTCTTTTCCAACCTTGGTGATTCTATAAACAATAGTGTATGGTTTCTTTACTTTTCAGAAAAATGTGTTCCTTAGCTTTATTTCACAGTCTAATGGTAAACTCTCATTGTGCTTGTGAGAAGAGTATTTTCTCCTTTTTCCTTTAAGGAATTGTTGCCTCGTATCCTTAAAACAAGCCTCAAATAATTTTGCTAAGAGCTGTCTTTCTCTTGTAAGATAATTCATCTGTTTCTTGCAGTCATATGGCAAAGGAAAGGAGAGAGTAGTTGCTTCTGGGCATTTTCCTACTTGGAATGTTATTTGGTTATCTGTTGTAAAGGAAGAGGCTCGAAGTTTACCTTCATACCCACGCACAGGATGCTGCAGCATTTGTCTCAGGGCTTATCAACTCACTTTTATCCTAATTCCAGAAATAACTATTTGGGTCTGCTGCAGCAAGGCTTTCTGCCTGATTTTTTTTTTTCCCCCTTGGCAACATGCTAGTTCTTATTTCTAAAGAACTCAAAGACCTGCTGGGGTGAGATGGGAATTGGTCTTGCAAATTAGTTGGTGGCAAATTCTGGCAGTTTAGCTGAGAGTCCCTTTGGAACGGGATGTGTAAATGGTTTGGAGCACAAGATTACATTGCCTTGAGAAGAGCGAGCTGCAGACCCCTTTTGGGGATGCCTGCAGTACCTGCCTGCCTCCGGCTGTTCGTCTCAGAAGTGATGTAATCCAGCATTGATCTTGGTGCGTACGCAGAGGGCAGAAATGGTACAAGTAGGAGTAAAAGGACCTGCCCTGTGCGAGCAAGCGACAAACTCGTTTTGAAACAATAGAGCTCTGTCTAATGAAACCCTTCCTCCATGTCTCTGTGAATGTCAGAGGCATTAATTGTTTGTGTGTGTACAGAAAGGGTGTTCTGAAAGGCAGATCTGTTGGCCAGCTAAATGTAATCGTTGTTCTAGAACCTTTCTGTTTTTATGTTTATTGGTGGATTTTTACTATAGCTGATGACAGAAGCCTTTCTTAAATTATTGCTCATCTTCTATTAAAAAAAATAGCTAATAGAACTTTATAATTTAGTTTGCTTTTTTTTGAGAAAGGTTCATAGCTGTTTGTGAAGTATTCTAATGCTATTAGTTGTACTATAGAATACAATAATACTGCCATGGTAGTGCTTTTCACTTACACATTTTAACTGCCGCATAATTAAAACATCCTGATGTTCTAACATGAAACATGCATGCAGATTGTTTCATGTAGCATTGTTTAACGTTTTATGCCTTGTGCACATTGCGGAGTATATGAATCTCTATAGAAAAGTTTCTTTAGGATATATAGAAATGGGTTCATTTCCTGAAATATATTTTAAGTCACTTATTGGTAAATAAAATTGATGATGATATTTTATTACCTTTTGATTATTTTTAATTCACAAAGAAGTTTGCATGGTTCTATTAGTTGTAATTGGGCAAAAATCTAGATTTTAATTTCTTTGTTTGTTGCCATTTTAAGGAGCTTTTTACCTACCAGGCCTATTCTCTGTAACAATATGGACTTGATTAGAGGAAGCATTTGTAAACGAATCAAGACATGCTTGTTTAGAGTAAGAAAGGTGTTTGTCTTTACTCTCATTGTAATTATATGTGTGCATGCATAGGTATAAATTGTTCTAGCTGATGGTGCACTGGGTGTCTTTGACAGAATAAGGAGAAGAACCCCCAAATAAAAAAAAAACATCAGTGAAGTATTCCTGTTCAGAAGTAGTGAAGTAGTTCAGAGCAGATCTTATTAATTCAAGCTTATAGTATATGAAATATATCAGATCTCTGAAATAATTTGAAATATGAAATGCAGTGGCTGTGTTAAAGGGAGGAGTATATTATAATTATATTAAAATAGATGATACTGTAATTAGCTACTACAGGTAATGTGTTTGTCTTGCAATGTAATTGATTCCACAAAGAGCTCTCAAATGAAACTTTACAACAGAATGAAATTTTAATACTCGTGCAGTTGGTTGCTTTTAAGACTTGGATTCCTGTACTAACACAGAATCCCGAGTTTTTAAACAAAGATCCAACGTAAGTTATAAACATGTATTATGTAAATAAATATTCATAAATGTAAGTGTATTTTTGTTGTCTTGTTCATGTACTGGTGCTCTGTGGTTTTTCAGTTTGCTGACCACTATGTGTCAGAGATAACGGGTAAGCATATCCGGTGCAGAAGATTTGTTGTGTTCTGTGTGCACAGGTCTGAGAAAAAGTACTGCAGATACAGTTTTTCTTTTCAGTTTGATTTTTCTTGCCGAGAGTAGCAATTAATATACGTCACCAAAAGAAGAATGCTTTGTAATTCAATTATGAGTGTAGTTCTACACACAGATTAGCTGACTATCCTCCATAGTTAATATAGATTTCTATACATGAATCATTTAATGAGAAACCTGCTTTTAATTAAACTACATCCTAAATTTGGAAAGGAAGATTTAAAAATTGTGGGAAGCTTCTGAGTTTCAGTAGGATCATTTTCCAGTTGAAAACCTAAATATCATTGGTATCCTTATTTTTCAAATACAGAGCTTAATTACTATTGAAAGCAGTGATTTATCTTTTAACAGTATATATTCTAAAAAGTGGGTTATAATAGAAGCTATCTTCCCTTAAAATGGCCAGTCGTGTGAGCCATAATGCTCATTGATAGTAAAATCAATAGAGCATTGATTCTGAGACTTAATCCTTGGAGACTGTTGTTCCGAACAGCGGACATAGCCTAGTAAATACAGAGTGCTGTTTAAAGTGTTTAATGCAAGAGACTCTGCTGTCTTAATTTATTTTTCTTAACAGATAATTTATAATAGAATGCGGTTGTCAAACATTTTTTCCCAGCCCTGTTTTGAGTATTACGAGATTGTAACCATTAGCGTATATGGGCCCTATTTAAATCTGTGGACAAATTTTCAGTGCCTCAATTAACATTTCCTATTGTACAAGGAAACAAATGCCTAATAAATTTATAGTGGTATTAAAGCAATTGGTTTTTTCTCAATTTTGTATATTTATTTCTCTGAAGCTGTCAATGGCAGAGCATATTTCGTGCAGTCGTATCAGTCTAATTTTAAAAAGAGGTTTTGATTCTAAGATATTTGGTTTTTGTTCTAGAATAAAAGTATGGAATGTTTTAGCAAATACATTATTATTTTAAAATGCTAAAACATTACTATATTCTTCAAAAATAAGTTTTAGTTTTGAAATTGCTTGCTGAGCAGTTTATCTGAGCAGAGAGTTTGCGTTAAGGCAGCAGTAATGAACTCTTCCTAACTTACTGGGAAAGTACAAATGTTGTTACAACAAAATTTATGCTAGTACTCTCATGATTGCCAAGGAAGATACAGTTTTGCAATACATGTTTTACGTACTCGGAGCACTGCGGAATCTAAATCTTTTGCACAGGAGGAGCCTAGCAACGCTCGGCAGCTTGAGCAAATGTTGTATCCACAGTCAGCTTTGCTGGATGCGCCGAATTAAAGGATATTTTTTATTTAGAACCACTGCTTCTTTTTCTGCCTAAGAAAAAAAAAAAAAAAGAATTTGGCGATGGAAATTTTTTTTTTTAGTACATCTCCAAGGTATCAATTTAATAACTATCAAAGTAGCTAGTGCAGTTGTTGCATTTAAATTGATTTACATGTCAAGACTGGCAGTTTAGCAGCTGCGCTATTATTCCTGGATCGGTCAATTTACTTGAGAAAAACCTACTACTGAGTTCCACTGACCTGCATGACAATATAGGCCCTATTTCTATTCCTGTAATTAGGCCCGCAACTAACTCAGAATATTTTTAATTAAAATATTTTGGTCAATGTGTTGCACCAAATTAGGCCTTTCAGCGCAGATTTAATTCTGGAAACGGTGTGATTAGAATGTGTAATGAGTTGCACTCAGTTCCAGATGAACAGGTTGTGCAGCGCCAGCGCATTCAGGTTGTGGCGTTTGCTGCCGGGGTCTGTGTTGGAAACTTTGCTCTGCGAAGTAACCAACGGCACGAGGGCGGGCGCGAACGGCTGCGCTGCGGCTTGGGCAAGCCATGGCGTCGGCGCACCGTAATGCAAAGATGCTGCAGGCACACGGAGACGCCTCGAGAATTTCGTTAGGAGGAAAGCTGACGAGCCGCCGTAAAAAGGGTTCCCGCAGAGACGGCGGGGTTAGCAAAATCGAGCGGCGTTAGAACGGGCTGGTTTCGGAGGCGGCTTTCCAAGCACGAGCGAGGCGGGGCCGCGGTGCGCGCAGCCGGGTGGCCCCGCGCTCAGGCCGCGCTTTCCTGACCGCGCGCTGCCAGCGCGGCCCGCGGCTGCGGCGCTGCCGCAGAGCGGAACAAAAGCGCGGGCGCTCCTCCCCTCCCCCACCGCTTGTGCTTTTAATTTGGGGAAGGAGGACGGGGCGACGGTGGTCGAGGCGTTTCTCCTCGCTCCTTGCCCCTCCCGCCCGTGCCGTTAGCCTTTCCCGCAGCGCCGTTTCTGCGGCGGGCCGAGCGGGGCTGCTGCGCGGGCGGCGCGGTTACGTCCGGCCGTGAAAAAAGAGCGCTTCCGTGCGGGCGCTGCTCGTGCCCGGCTCCGCGCCCGCCGCTCGGCTGTGCTAAAGAAAATAACCGCTAAACGAGCTCTTGTGCGCGCTTTGCTCCAGCGGTCTGTGCATTACCGTTTGTTTTGCTTTATGATGGGATGGTTGGGCTGGTCTCCTTTGTAGCTCTCCATGAAAGCCTGTTATATTTGCTACTGTAGGTATGATGATATTCTGATCAATGGACTACCAGATTGGCGACAGCCTGTATTCTACTACAGGCGGGTGAGAAAAATGAGCAATGCTGAGCTGGCATTACTCTTGTTCATTATACTCACAGTGGGTCATTATGCTGTGGTTTGGTCAATCTACCTGGAAAAACAGCTGGTAAGTATTGGTAATAAATCAAACTTGCTTCAATTATTAGCGTTGAGTTCTCTGCTAAAGTTTGCATATTATAGGGATCCCTACCGCTTCCCCTGTTCTGAATTTTTTGTATTTTAAAATCATTACATTTAAAATGGTAATAAATATAGAATGAGATATTCAACGTGTCAGAAATAGTAATCCAAAAGCAAGAATGATCAAGAATTGGTAATAGATAAGAGATGGTTCTTAGGTTTATAGTTGGCAGAAGGGAGGAGAATAAAAGCTCTTCTGTCATTTATTGATGCAGGCATACGCTCCTGTAGTCATGTTTATGACTTTCCTAGATGTTACTTAAAAATAACCAGTTTTTATTCGTTTAGAAGTCATCCTTGCTTTGCCTTTGTTCTTAGCTAAATGCTTTTTTTCTGTTTTGTTTTGGGTTTTTGTTAACCTTGATAAGCAGCGCAAACAAATTTCTGTTGGATTATTTTGGGGTTTTACGTATAAATGTCTATTGCACTTATCAAACTAGAAAAAAAACCTAAGCATAACTTGAAAAATACTCATACATTAGCATCTATTTACTTTTTTATTTTCCATTGCATTATTGAAGTTGATGAATGAGAAAGGAGGCAAGTTGAATGCTTTCTCCTCTTAGAAAACTTTGATTGCTATGGAGATACACATGAGTGACAGAACTGGACTTCATGTGTGTTTAAAGACTGGATGCCATGGCAACAGTTATTGTTAAGATAGATCATTTTACTTAATCATGTAGGACCCCTAGATACATTTGCATAAATGCTACTCTAATGTTTACCCTTCACAGAAGAGTCCCAGTAACATTTGTGGTTTACATGTTAATGATAACCTGTAACTGTAGTTCTTTCTACATCAAGGATGAACTGCTTAGCAGAAAAAAGAGGGAGAAGAAGAAAAAAACGGGAGGCAGAAGTACTGATGAAGCAAAACTTGCTGCTCCTGAAAAAAACGAAAGGTGGGAAAAAACTTGTTTTCTGCATTTTAAAACATGTTGTCGGCTACTGGTTTTGTTTATTTTCTGCTTGCATTTTTGAAGTATTTGTACAAGAGAGAAATCTGTAACATTCATCTCTGATATAAAGTGTCCCGGTGTCGTTGTGTATGTAGTTTTTAGTACCGTAAACAAATGTATGGTATTTATTCAACAGATGAACAGTAAGGGAAATACTGAGGCTGATTTAATGACGTCGTGTATGTAAAAGGGTGCTGTTCATCCAAGTTGATTTTTTTAGAAGATTTTACAACTTTTTCTGTCTTCGAAGGTTTTTGCTTTTGATTAAAATTTCTTAATTTTAATTTATTTAAGCTTTAATTTATCACCATAACAAATCAGGAGTTTTTATGGGTTTTTTTAATGCATGTCTGATTTAATGCCTTTGTCTGATTAAATTGAAAACAAGCATGTTGGTGAAGGCTTATAATGCTATTTTTCAGTTAAGAAACGCATAGGGAAATAGTGACTTTCAGGACACTCCAAAAGATACCACCATTTCTTCTATTGATTCATAGAAAGAAATAAAGGGTTTAAATAGTTCACACAGCAGGGGCATGAACTGGATCAATGCAGGATGGAGATCAGAGACCATTCTGCCTGTCGTCTTTCCTGATGACATCAGTGAGTAATGCTTCAGTGAACTGCAAATGGCATTAATTTTTATGTATTGTTTTGTTTATGCTACAGTCTTCATATCTGGTTGTCAGCACTTGTGAACACTTGATTGAGGCTTGAGCTTTTTTTTTTTTCTTTTTTTTTTTTTTAAACTCAAGTGATTATGTGGCTTATGAATTTATTTTCTTGGAAGAAAAGCCCTTTTTGAGATACTAAAATACAGAGATGATGAGAATTTGGTGGTTGTGTTATGTATTTTGAAATAAATATTCAGAATGTATCTTTGGTGTTACGTAGGTAAGCATTTTCTTATGAATTGACAAGTGCTAATCATTTTAAAGGATAGTGGAAGAGTTCTGAAATTGTGTAGTAATAGTGGGAAAACCTTGTGATTTTGTTTGACTGTAGAGCACTGGACAAACCACAGTGGCATGACTTACTTCCATGCAAGCTGGGAATATGGTTCTGTCTCACAGTGAAAGCTTTGCCTCAGCTATTCCAGGTAAAGTACTGTAATTTTAAACTATTAAATTTCTTGATGGTGTTATGCATAATCATGTACTGCACTTGTTTATATTAATTTCCTGGTTCAAGTTTACATCTTTTATATATAAATAAAACATATGCACACACGTATACATTGTATAAAATACACACGCACATAAAATAACGTTATTTGGAGATAATTTTAATATCATAAATGTATACAAATGTGAATATATAAAAGTTTATATTAATATGTTAGGGAGTTCAGCAGCAGTTCCTGCTGGACACAAATACAGGAATGTTAAGAGGAGGAAAATATATGCAGACACCTATATTACAAGTAGCAACATCTTTTAAGCAATCTGTTAAGAAGATATTTTTATCTCAAATAGGCAAACACTGTATTTAAATTTGAGAGAACAGTGCATTTACTTCTAACTGAGTGAGCTTTCTTTTTGAGGCACAGGATAATGATAGAAATTTATACCTGAAATTAACAAGGTAAAGTAACAAATTTATGTTTGTAATTTAGATACTTAAACATGGGAAAGCTGGCCACAGCTTTGGTTTGGATTTTTTTTTTTTTTTTTAATATGAATACTGTTAATTGTAAAATTTAGCTGATGTTCGCCAGGTATTGTAAAAATGTCAGTTACCAGAATGATTTTTTAAATCTCAGAAGCTCTTGATTTCCCATGATCACATCCACTTGTTTTCAATTCACTGCTGACTAATGGGTATACATCAGGAAATAAGGGTGGATTTAATTTGGTTTGTACTACTAATATACTGTTAATGCTGAATTGTAACCAGCGTAAATATTCAATTTGTCTGAGTACAAACTGGAATTCTTTCATATAATTCATAACCCTTAATCTGTTAGCCAAAAGGCTTGTAAAACTTGTGCAATAAGGAAAAGTCTGGTGTTTCAGCTACTATTTTTATAGCCTACTTTTCCTACAAAGAGATGCAAAATTAATATTCCTTCATCTTTTAAATGTTTCATCAGGAGTATGTGGTTATTTTATTAAAACAACCTTTCTTAATCTTTTTGCATGATTTTAAAGTAAAAATGACTGCATAATTAAATCAACTGTTAAGCTTTGATGTTCATCCTTGATTGAGATGAGTTAGAAAAAAATTAATTTCACCAATTGTTGCAGCTGCATTTTCGAAACTTACTTATAATTCTAGTACTTTTCCCTTAACTGCAAAATAGCCTCAGATTTACAGAATATAGTAATAATTGTAAGGATTTTTAAACTAAGATGTCTTAAAATGTTTCTAAGCTGTCATTTTGTCTGTTTCCTCATCTTGACATAGTCTGTTAGGAAGTCAGCAGTAGAGGTTTCAGATTTTCTGTTCAAACAGCATTTTTGTTAGTCTGGCCGGAAAAGGTGATATTTTGAACTTTGTGGACACTTAGCTGATCACTTCTGCTTTGTATTTTAAATCCATTAAATTAACGGTAGTGGAAAAGTAGGTGTCCAATAACTCATGGAAAACGGGAGACCAGCAAGTCGGGGATATGGTAGCAGGGGAAGCACGATTTAGAGAATTCAGTGCAGGAAGGTTTCAGAGCAAGAAGGGTGTAAGGAGACAGGATTCTAGAGTGAGTCGTCCCATACTTAAGTAATGCTGTTGCATAATTCCAGGGCTTTTGTTGTTCTTTAACGTGACCTGCCATATGCGTAAGTGAAAATGCAATGAATTACAAGTAAGCTTCAATGTTAAGAATTTTCAGGATTTCAGATAACTGAGTTATTGCAGTTAATTAGTTAAAAATACTTAACTGAGTGTCGCCTCTCCTGAAGAGCCACGATAGCACTGACCTCATGTTGGGTATGAGAAGAACAGTGCAGAAGAAAATTTTTATGTTCTGCCTGGCTGGTCAGGGAGACTTCTGGGCTATTGAGTTCTATTTAAGGTTTTAGCTGTAAATATATATAATATAAAATTATATATATACAATATATAAGTAAATAAAATAACTGTATTCCTTCATACTGAGATACTCTTTGAATGTAAGTGCCATTACCTTCAGTAGTACACTAATGTAGATTTGAGACTTCAGAGTATTTAGGCTTTTAGGGTAAGTAGCTAACCAGAGCAGGTTAGCTAAAAGATGACATACCAACAGGTACTGAGTGCTAGTTACACATCCTGATTATTTATTAACAAACTGTTACGAGGTTGACATAAGGATATCTGCTGCAGATTCTAGGTCTTTAATGGGTTCATCTAAATGATTTTTCTCTAATTTAAGAGCCAATAAGTTATTTTCAAAGTTGGCTTTCATCCATACAAGTAATTCAGTCATAGGATAAGTTCTAAAAATATCACCCACATTTAAATATACCATGATTGGGAGTTAAAAGGCTGAGTTTTAGCAGTGCTTATAGGTAGGCTGAGTTTTAGCAACGCTTATAATTAGATGTAGTTTCTGCCACTGAGTTCATATCCCTCAAATCTTTCAGTGGAATAGCTGAACTGTTTCCTCAAATGAAGAAAACAAGACTACCTGTCTGTGTACACAAAAATCTTCCTCATAGGGAACTTTTTTTTTCTCTGTAAGTAAAGAAGTCAATTGAAACTTTTTACCACTTTTCAAGTTGGTTCATTTTTGCTAGCATCCAACCCCTCCTTTCCTCCCCCCTCCCCCAGTTAGCGTGAATATTCTTCTTAGTAGAGCTCTGAGGATTCAGGTTGCTGAGCTTCTGCCCATGCCTGACTCTCATTTATCCAATTGAGTGTCTTTCTCCTACTTCCCCTCCTCCTTCAAAATGTCAGATTTCAGAAGGAGGCACTTAAAATAATTAAGGTAGGCCTTTACTGAAGAAAAATGCTTTGTTTGCATGCCCCTGTGATGGCCTATGCCATTTTATTGTAGTCTGCATTTTATGTCAAGAAACTGGAAGAAAAATGAGTGAGAGGAGAATGAGAGAAACTCAGAAATGATTGTTTTTTTAACTGTTGACAATTGTATTTTGAGGAAAACTACATAGGTTTTTATATCCCTGCATTTAGTATAGTTCAATTTCAGGGTGAAAACAACATCTTAAAGCTTATTCCAAGAAGTGAAGGGAAAAGAAAACATAAATGTATCATCAATCAAATATCTGTGATGGGAAAGAAGTATTAAGCGGAGAGTAAATTACATTGGCTATTACAGATTTTAATTCTTCTAATGAAGACACAAGAAGAAGATAGAACAAAGAATGCAAGTTATTTCTAGGGTCATGAGAATGACCTGGAAGAAGGCTATTTACTTAAAAACCAAAAAACTCAATAAAAATGCTTGTTGGAACTGAACGTTGGTCTCACAAAGAAATAACACAGCTAAATATAGTGTGCAAGAATTTCAGTTCAAATGGTGCATGTAATACAGAATAGACAGTTTTGTTAATTATCTTTTTTCTTTGTGGCAGAAGAGTCAAGTGAAATGCAGTTTATTCCCAAAATAGCTGATGAGAGGTTTTTTTTCTTGGATGTGCAGACAAACAACTTAAGAGGTGGCATTTCTTAAAAATGTTCTTAATTATTCTTCACAAAATATTTTATTCCAAAAAATGAAGATTAGCAGTTTTGTTTGCGTTGCTGACAGCTACATTTCTTCCAACTTTTTGTGGTGAAGCCTAGTTACGAATGTGCTTATTTTTACACCAACTTCAGCACTAGGATATGGTTTTTATTAGTTGAATTATGTCCCTACTGTTGTTAGGAGAGTAATGAAGCAGGAAGCGTTTTGTTTGTCTCATACAGAAATTGATTCTTATTAAGAAAATAAACTTCCCTTTTATCTTCTGTCAGTAATAAGGTAGGTGTATTGCAGACCCTTTTGGTTTGCTGTTGGAAGAGCTTCTGGTGGCTCTCCAGCAGTGAGAAGGCAGTTCATGCTCAGTATGTAGCTGCAGTGGGTACAACCTAGCAAGATTATGAACAAAGCTTTCAGTTAGTTACGATTGAAACTTGTTTGTAAAGACCTTTGCGTAGTATGAAGTGAATTAAAACAAAAAGGCCAGTAATTTATTTTTATGTAGACTACCAGATGGTAATTACTGTAGCTGATTTAGTAGCCTGGAATAGATTCAAACTAGTGACCCAGAGGTGTTTAATTTCTTGGCATTTTTTCCTCAGGTTTTCTTTTAATCCGTGATTACATTTCAACACCTGCTTAGAGATGGTTCAGACTCTGGCCTTAAACGGATTGGCAATGTGTCATTAAACTCAAGAGGCTTTGCCAGCAGGGCATCTCCTTTGGCAAAGTTAGCTTTTAAGCAGGATTTGATTAGGTCAGCAAACATTTATGTGGGTTGGTTTTGTCTTCGCATGTGACTTCGATAGAAAATCAGAATGTGAGATTAAAATAAAATTTATTGAGTTTAGTTAAGTCTTTAAAAAAAATAGATTTTTGAAAGGATTTATTCAAGTGCCAAAGTTTAAATATCTCCATAATTTGTAGGTTACACAGTTTTGATTTGTTGCAGCCTAATGTACAGCACTGATGTTGGTATAAGTTGTGGGGAGTGAGCAGATGCAGGATGTGTGGCACGAGTGATTGCCCATTTGCTCTGTTTCTTGCTGTTTTGCAGCGGTTGGGAGAACCAAAGTAGGGATGAAGCTCTTGACCCTGAGGTCAATTAGAAGCTTAGATAAAGGTCAGAGGAGAGTGGATGATAAAACAAGTATTCTGGGTGTATGCAAGTGAGCAAAAATAATCTACCTCTAAAAGAGTGCTTACTGTCTGATACCCAAGTGAAAAAATGTGCTTTGTTGCATAGTAAAAGTTTTAAGTGAACATAAGACACAAAATAAACTTGTCTTTGTGTATTGTGCTGTGGTGGCCAGTTTTGTTCTGCTCCCTCAAACAGTCCCTTGGTGTATGCCTGCATATCTCAGCATTTTGGAGGAGTGTAGCTTGTGAGTGCGAGGTGATGTTGGCTCTCAGTGAATTGGGTTGTTCTGTTGGGGTAGGAGGCTTCACTGGGCATGAATGGGGTTCCTGGGGAGGCCTTGCAGTTCCTCCTTCTGGCTGCCTTTGTTTTCTCACTGTGGATCTGGAATACCCATCAGATCCTGCATTAGCACAGCCCGCTGCTGGTCACCTGGTGCATCTGAGACTGCCCACAAGCTATACACAGCTGCAGAGCCTGCCCACACCTGGTGCTATTCCAAGGTCAAAGCATAATTTCCTGATTGAATAGAACATTTATTTACTATTTTGCCTTTGAGTAAACACGTACAAATTACGAAATAAATCTAAATCACAGTGTTCCGCTTTTTTTTTTTTTACACTATTTGTTGCCATAGCACTTAATTTTTACAGTATATAAACCCATCAAAAAGTTCTGTGGCATGATGATGGGCATTTTTATTGCCAAGAAGTAGCCAACTGAAGGTCGGATGGTGCAATAATTTTAGTTTAACTACTTTATCATCAGTAGTTATATACAAATGTGCTCCTTTCTGTGACTGTTGTCACTATTGTAAAAATTGTACCAGAACACTGTGCTCGAAGACAAAAACTAGTCCACAAACTTCATGCAAATATTAAAGTTGATAGATTAACTTAAGATTAACGCATTTAAGTGTACCAATTTAAAATCTACTTGTAACGGAGTTTCCGCTGAACTGTAAATTCAGAGAGGGAGGTGAAGGTTTTTCTGTGTTAATTCCTCACTCCAGAGAAGTAGAATGTGAAGTTGGTTCTATCACAGAATCTATAATGAAGATTCATATATGATCAAACAATGCAAGTTTGTTTCCATTGTTTCCAGTGTTTCCATTGTTTGCCTTATTTCTGTTAATCTGTTGTCTTTCTGAGGTAGACCAGAAAGCAAGGAAGATCAACTGGATGAAAGAAAGCTGCCACCAAGGACTCTCTCTCCCCCTCCCCCAAAACAAACAAACCAACAAAACCTCATCACCTTCCTTCCCCAGAAGTCAAGGAGAGGCTGGAGCCACTGAGTCTTATTCAAAACTTAAGATTTTAGTTACAGGATTAGAGCAGTTTATTTATACTTCAGCTATCTTTGAAAAACAAATAAGCAAACAAAAACCTTAAAAGTCCAGTATCAAGAATTTCTGTACTTGTACACAGCTCAGTAATAAGTGCAGCTTTGTCCTGGCAATCTCAAATTTGTTGGCAGGAGACTCACATTTATTGACTCATATAGAGAAAAAGTGAAATACAACAACTTTACTGTATTCTTAGTTCTTATTTGTGATTTAAATATTGAAAATATGTTAATGAATAGTTCATCTGTCAATTTCATTTTTCATCTGCAGTACTTTTTGAAATTTTTTAAATTAAATGTAAGAGTAGTCACAAGAGCTTCCTATACGGAGCAGTTGACATATGATTTGGATATACTAGCTGCGCAGTTTTGAAACTCTGAAACATTCTTTTCTCATTCTGTTCCTTCTTGGGAAGTGAATATTTGAATCATAGCATAATAATCCAGTGTTCATTATTCGTTTTGCTTGACTACATGCATATTACTGCTTTAATAGTGAGGCCATGTATTTGTGTTCTGTGTTCTGCTTTTTTTTTTTTTTTTTTTTTGAGAACATCTCACTCACCTGCAAATGAGAACAAAATGTTGCAATGAGTGGTTAAGTTGAAAGCTTTAGTTAGAACACTTCCAAGCTTTGTATGCATCCTCAGTCCCTTTTTACCTCCTGAAGGATCAGAATGTTGCTTTTCTCATGTTTATTACCTGTTGAAAGTGAATTATACAGGTGCAAAATTCTGAGGTTGTGCATATTTTCTCCTCTTGGGCCAAAAAAAAAAGGCAAGATGCTTTAAAAGGAAATTCGTTACTGAGTCTTAGGAAAGGAATGGTATTTTGGAAGTGGCTGTATCTGTACTGCGGCTGTTTTTAGGGCAATTGTGCAATTATTTTATCCCCAAAGTATTTGTATTGAGACAAAGTGATTATTTAAATTTATCACTTCAGAAAAGTAAAAAATCTGAACATGAATCTCTTTTGAAATTCTCTTCCTGCTAAAACTAAATATGCTTGAAAACTGTTCATTTCTTAGACTGGTACTATTCAAAATTTATGTGTTTATTTATGTAAAAACAGAAGTTTTCTCCAAAGAAACTCCTATTTTTATATGTTCTCCAGTGTTTATTGTGTTGTAACTTACCACGTGTAGTATTCATATAGTTTGTGTCTATCTCTCTTCAGGTATGTCTTCCAATTTCTCTTCATAACCTGTAGAGCTATTTCTTGTGCTTTGGTGGGAAGATTTTGATTTTCAAATCTCCAGAATCCACTTTGATTCATTTTGTTGATTTGCTTTATATGTATACGTTATTATATGTGCTTCAGAATGCTCAGTATCCCTGTGGTTGTTTTTTTTTCCTGATTATGGTATCAGATAAAATTTTTAATAAGAAACAAATGTTGCATTTGTTACCTGCATATGACATCATTTCAGTGATAATCCATTTTATATCTCTAAAGCAGCAATACTAGTAAATTTCATTTACGTGCTTCTGACTAGTTTTCTTTGTTGTTCAGCTATTGTGTCTCATTTTTGTCTGAGCCACATTTCCAATTGTTCTGTGATTGACATGCTGGAGAGATTGACAGTTACCCCCTAGTGCCTGCTGTCTGGAGATCCCACAAGCAATAATGGATCTTACTCCAGAATTTAGCATCAAATATTGGCTTTCAGTGTCAAATGGGTTAAATTTAAATGCCGGCTAATTGTAGTCATTTTGAAATCATATCCTTAAACAAAAAAGCATTTTTTAGATATCAGCATGTCTAAGTCTTGTGTAGGCCGCACAATCCAAATGTCTCAAACCTGCAGCAGAAGTTAACCATTACATTTGTGGCTGTTTCTATTTTTTAGCAATGCAAATAGTCCAAATCTGGAGAATACAAGGAACGATTTCCGTATGTGGCAAGTAAACCAAATGGAGACCCAGTACTGATGCTACTTCTGTTAAACTATATTCAGTTTAACATTCAAACTGAATATATTTATTTTCGGCCCTAATACCTAGTATAGTAAATAGTAGTCCTCCTGCATGGCATCTACACGTTTTTAGCCCTGCTTCTACTGAAAAACAGCACCTCTTCCCCACCCCCCAAAACAAAGCTGTAAGCACGTGGGATGCTGTGTGCCAGAAGTGAGAAGTTATGTGAACTTCTAAACTTTCTTCTGTGCTAAGGGTGATCTCCTACATAATCCTTGTTTCCCAAACCCAAATGTAAAAAGAAAGGGAGTAAGAAAAAGTATTTTGGAAGAAAAGGAAACCTAATTGTGGAATGTTGTCTTGTATCAGTGATGTTTCTCTGAAATATTACAATGCTCTGCTCAGAACAAAATTCTGTACTCCTTGTTGCCCCACATCCCACACGTGACTTTGAAGAGGTAGATATATAATGCAGTATAATGAAAAGAGCAGTTGTGTTGTGTCTTTTCGGTAAGCAATGTTTCTGAATAACTTCTGCAATTAGATACAGCAGTAATGACTGCTTAACTCAGTTTTAAACTTGTTTTAATGAGAGCAAGTTTTATTCAGACTTATGGGATGGTAGTGGAAATTCAATAAATGTTTACCAAGATTTACAATGCTTTCTACATTAAATTTAGGTCATCTTTTTAGTACATAAGGTGGGTCTGTGATGTAATAACAAGAATAAATGAATGACTTTAAAGAAATAAATTTCAGTTATTCTAACCATTATAATCGATTTTGATATAATACAAGAAATGTTCTGTCTGACTGGAAGGGATAAATAATTTGCCTATTTCAGTGTTTATATTATAGTTTCATTGGTTCTGGATGAATACAGAAATATCTTAAACTAATAAGTAAGAGTAAGAAAGCACTCCATACCTCTTCATTCAGTAATCTGGTTGCTCACATGTAGAAAGCTTTCGGCACAAATCTATAATTACTAATTGATCAACTATTGGAGATGTAAAGCTTATTGCAGGATTTGTGACAGGACTTCTAATTTTATGTTTAAGAATGCTAAACAGATCTGAGATTAGAATCTAATTCTTGGGAGAAAAAGGAATCTTGGTTTTCATTTTTTTTAGCACTTCAATAGCCTTTTAAAAGATGCTTAAAAAAAGAAAGAGTAAGTTAGTGTTACCTTAATGAGTTCGTGGTTCGAAGATTGCTGCCTGGCAATTGCCTTGGCTTGTCCTGCACACACTGCTCTCATTAAAAACTCCACTTTCTTTCTTGAACTTCCAGATTGCTGATGTGAGCAAAGTGAGTGCATGCACTTTTAAGAAGCTGTAGATGGTGATCAGAAATGTTTTCCTAACCACTTTCCTTTTTAGGTTGTCATTAAGCATCGTAACCTATAATATCAATGCTATTACATTAAAACCTTTATTACACAAAAAGTTTTACATTGTAAGCAAATAGTTTATGTACTGAAAAATCCTGTATTTCAAAGAAGTAAATGTATCTTAATATTTTTTTGGGGAGGTTAAATGAGAAATTAAAACAGAGCCAATGCAATAACTTGTTTGTATAAGGATGCTAATGTCATTACAACATTTTCTTAAAGGATGCCAGACAATTATATGTAGAATATAAAGAAACAAAAATGAAGGAGAAAGAAGATGCCCTGGCTAAGGCTGAACTTGAAACACTTCAGAGTGAGTTTTTACCACTGTCTTAATAAACAAATCTACCTACTCAGCAAGATGTATGTGAACAAATGTTTTTATAATCTTCTATAATATGTGCTTTATATATTTCTGTACTGCTGTTAAATGAGATTTTAATTTTGTGACTGTAATTTCACAGTATGCTGCTGGCTTGCTTCTGTAGAAGCATAAACTCAGTTTATAGTTAGGTAGTATCCAGAAAAGCATGCTTTGCTAGAAATGTTGCTTTACAGGAGAGGGAAATCTCAAAAGCATAGATCTTAAAATATAAATTTTTAGAAGTGACCTCTGCTTTTTCAGCATTTCTGCATTTTTTTTTTTCCTGTAAATAACCATTTAAAATAATTTATTTTGGATTTCTTTTATATAAATTCAGTTTATTTTCATAATACAAATAGAAAGTGAAGATAATTTGAATTTCCAAATGCATGGGTGTGGTCTTAGGAGAGGGATTCTTGCTGCTGTTGAAATAAATGTCTTAAAAGTCTTTGTACTTTCACAGAAGACCAGAGAAGGCAATTAGCATTTCCCGTAATAAAGTATTCAGAATAATTATATGTGACTTCCTTTTCTTCTTTCAGTTATTTCCTTTAGACAGTGATTAAACCTGCTCTCTTCTGAGGACAATTTTAAAAGATTTTTGTTTGTGTTTTTATGTGCTTACTTTATTTTCTATACTTAAGTGCATGCTTTTAAGTTCTTCTATTCTGACAAGTACTTTGAGTCCTCTATAATAATTTACTATCTTTGAGTACACATAAGCCTTTGGCACTTAAAATACAGCTGCATTATTTATATTTTCAAAATAGGTTGATTTTATACAATCAGAAACAAGATTGAGCTTCAGCAATAATTCCTAACTCAACTGCAGCTAAATCTTTTCTTTTTTTTTTTTTTTTTAAGAAAACAGGTAATATTTAGCATCCCATTGAACACTGTGGACCCTAGTCAATCTAGCAGGATACTGCTTGCCGAGGAGGTCTGCAGCTATATTTGAGATACTGATCAAAAAATAGGCCCTTGAAATGGGTCTTGACTTCAGTTATGTTAAAAATTTGTTAAATTGCCAGATAGCGATGTATTGCATAAATGGGACACATTCTTCATTTAAGTCCATGAGCTATTTTGTGTATATTGTTTTAAAAGGATGAATTTTGAAAACAGAAGTGCAAATGAAATTGTGATGTCATTAAAATTTTACTTTTTGTGCTCCTGTGTTTCACTGAATTGCCAGTTTGTGAACTTTTCAGTGTTTCTTCTCTGTGCAGATTTGCCAGGTGTCGTGTGAGAGTTACTGCTTTTATCTCCTCTTCTGTGGGCCTCTACCATACACTGAGAGGTGCAGATTTGGTGCCCTTGCCCCCTCCAGGTCTCCCATGAGTTGTAGCAGAAGCACTACCCTGTCCTCTGTCACACCAGGGTGTCACCTGGCATCTGACCCCTCTGTCTGTAAGGAGACCTGATGTCACACATCTGGAGCAAGAGGAGAGATTAGTGGTCACCACCTGTAATTAGTGGAGTTTGAAATAGGGCATGGAATTAATTTGGTCAACTATAGCAGTGCTATTGCTGGGTAACAGAATGAGCCATCGGTTGCTTTTTCTAAAAGAAATGATATTTACAAGAGAAAAACAAGAGATGCATCTATGTTATTATAGGGGAAAAAAAGAGCAAATATTCTTTTTCCAGAAGCCTGCATGCAAAGCATCTGCTAACATTGTTTATTTCATTATATTGTTCTTCATTGTCCTCTTTGGAATAGCATAACAAGGTTGTAAATCATCAAATGTGCATTTGGTGATCACTTGTCCCCATTCTTAATTTTAGAGGCAGTCCATGGAGTGTGAGTTCCTAATAACAGTTCCATCTATCTAATTGAGTAAATGCATATCATGCAGATTAGCAATAGCTGCTTTACAGCGCTTGTTTTTTCATGACCTAATTGCTAGTTTACCTCCATGTCTGTCTGCTTTCCTACTGAAAATGTTCAGTCATCTGTAGGCACCTTGAACTAAAACCAGAGAAGGGTATCAGAGAAGGAAAACATAATTTGCCAAGTAGGAGAAAGAGGGTGTTACTGAGATGTCATTAAAGTACGATATTTGGGAATGAGAGTGAAAAAATATTTTCTTGGTATATCAAAACTGTGCATAATTCTGACTTATTTTGTCAGTACTTCTGCGCTATTTATCACTTCTCAGTCCATTCAAAATACTCGTTATTCCTGCATATAGCACCTTTACAATTTACCTTGCAAAATAAAGCAGCTAATAGTACAGATTTTATTCCTAGGAAATATATATATTTTTTGTGTGCAATTACAGCTATCTTTGTTCTAGCCACCAAAATAGAAATGCTTTGCCTTACTTTTTTTTTGGTCCTTTTTATATTGGATACCAGAGCACATTATTTCTCTTAAAATGAAAGTGCTTTAATTTAATTTTAACTGTTACCTTTTCCCTTTCCAGTACTGTCACAGTTGCATATATTCTCTGCATCTGGCAATGATAGTCTTGTTTTTTGTAGTCATGGATGTGGAACAGAATATATATATATATACATATATTAACTGAACCATCTAATCATTAAACTAAAGATGTAAATGTACGTTATCAGGACAGATGACTCTGCCAGTTTATAAACTTAAATCACGAAGTTTCAGTAGTTATTAAGACCAATTCTAGCAGTTGTACTGGCTGCTCTTGGAGTGTGAAGTGCATTCAGTTGCTTCCATTTTGGTGGAAAATACATCTATTTTTGTTTCTCTATATTTAACCCTGGTAATGCTCTTAATTTGCTTTTTTTTTCCCTGCCCCCCCAATAGGAAGATTATGAATATCACAGTGTTACCCACCTAGTTGACCAAGGGAGTCCAGTTGAAGTAATCTTTTTGGATTTCAGCACAGCTTTTAACACTGATTTTCACAGTATCCTTCTGGACAAGATACTCAGCCAGCATATAGCTAGACAAATGCAGTGGGTGAGCAATTGACTGACGGGTTGGACTCAGAGGGTTCTAGTAAATGGGGTTACATCAGGCTGGTAGCCAGTCAGTAGTGGGGTTCTGCAGGGCTCCATTTTGGGACTAGTTCTCCTTAAGGTTTTCATCAGTGTTTTGGATGCAGGACTCTGGAATGCATACTGAGGCAGCTTGCGAATGATGCTAGATTGAGAGGATCTGAGGTCCCTTGGTTTGTTCAGCCCAGAGAAGAGGAAGCCTTGTCATGGCCTTCAGCTCCACACGAAGGGATTTGTTTAAATCATTAATTTTAGTGTTATATAGTTGAATCTTAATTTCAGTGTGGATTTCTTTAGCTTTCAGGTTTTTATTACTAGCATTTGTCCATGCTTAGAATAAGAACTTGTCTGTATCTACAGATTTTCTTTATATAAAAGCATTTCTTTAGCCCTTAATTACTGTGGCTTTTCTGTACTAAATTGTTTTTCAGTATAGCTGCAGATATTGTACCCTGGCTTTGTACATGTGTTCTAATATTTGCCATCTTCTGATTATAAAATCATGTTTCTAGAGTTATCAGTGTTCTGTTTACAGAATGACAGATTGCATTAGCTCCACAGCTCTGATAGCTCGTTTCTGATCACTTGTGCTACTGTAACTTTAAGCTCTTACATCAAAGGTTCCCTGCACACATTGCATTTAAGTGCAGATATGGCCTAAGGTCCTAAGCTGTGTAATTTATTTTATTGGTGATCCAAAATGCTTTTGATTCGAATAATCCCAGACTGTCAGCCAGTCCATGTTCCTAAATCTTACTGTAGTTTCCTCTTCACTGTGAACGATTTTGCCCAACTTTGTGTAATCCAGTATTATACCAAAGGCAACTTTTCATTTATTTCCAAATAATTGGTAAACACGTTGAATTATTGTGTTTGGTGTTAATTCCTGCCAAAATGCAGTGTTCACATGCCTGCTCAGCAATAAGTTGCTGACAGCAGGTTTGGAGAAAATTATTTCATATAATGCATGGGTTTTTTTGTTAGTGTGGGTGTGAATGTTCTGATCACGTAATTGTTACCTCTGAAGCCTATTTATGGCAAATTAAGTATCATTTGTTCTACTGCCTGTTTTTGCAGGCCTGCCAAAGGGATTCGGAACTTGCAGCTCAGGTGCTTTTTCCAGTTGAATCAGCTAGTCTGTGTGATGCCTCTCCCTGCAAAACTTGCTTCAGACTTTACAAAAACATAAATGTTCATCTTAACAGACAATTTTATGAGGTTTGCTTAGAAGAGGCACATGTTTCATTTTTTGTTTGTTCCAAGGCAGATTAATTAGTTCTTAAATATTAGATTCTTAACCTAGCCCTTTCTTGTTATTGGATGAAGTATTTGAGGACAGCAAGAAACATGGGGAACAGTGAGTATTCAGAGGAGATGTGAAAGGCATCCAGCCTTTGTGGGGCATTTTGGTGAAGTTGAGGATATATCATTGCTAAGGAAGCTTTTAGTCTGTTTGCTCAAAAATAAGTTAAATTCTCAGTCTCTGTGCAGCACATGTATTTATGTGACTCTGATGCATTCATGTAATCCCATTCATTTTATTATGAAAACAAAAATGTGTATTTTTTTAACAGAAGTATTTGTCTCATAATTTCAATATTGAATTTGTTTGCTCAGTTTTTTTCAGTAGACAGTCTAAACTTTAGGCCAACAATTTTTTCAGACTTTGGATCTGTTACAGTATATCTAAATGTATTGCTGTACATGGCAATTTTTTGGTGTCATGTTTAAGCAGATTTTAATGTTATAAGTGCTTGTTTGTCTTTTGTAGAGTTAGGTTGGTAAGTGAACAGTGTTGAAAGACAAGAAGATCGTGATGCAGTATGTTAGTGACATGTCACAGCAATGCTTGCTGTCTGCCTGTGTTTGTTGTTGCTTATCAACACATAGGATAACAGTCAATATCTTTGCTTTCTATGATTTTCTAGACGTAGGTGTCTTTTTTTCAGCTAGTTTTTCTTGATGCTGAAATGGAAGGCTTATAGGCCTTGCTGAGAGAGGGAACACCAGCTTCATCTCTCATATGCAGAAGTTCAGCACTTTTTTCTCCCCTTTCTTCTTTCCTATATGTAGTAGTCTTTTTTCTTTGAAGGTTTTAAATGCTCTTAGAATTCTTTAGAAGTTACATCATCTGACAGACAAAATTAGAATATAGTTTTCAAAAAACTTTAAAAATACAGTTTCCTGGTACTTTTCATTAGAAAGGTGCTATTATTACATGGTGCTCTCAGTTCAAAATGCTAGGTGATTCCTTATTGTCTGAAAATGACAGCTGATAGATTCTAAAGCAAATCACCATTAGCCAGATACTATTAATTCTGCCATTGATACAGTAAAATTAATGTGTTAACAAGGCAGAAGGACTAACAAATCCAAATTATCTGCAAGTCATTCATCAGACTTCAGTATCTGAATCATTATGCCAACAGAATATTTAGCCAGTTCTGTAATAGTGGTGAAGGCCTTTAGAAGCAGTGAGTTCTGTACAGGTAAAGCAGTTAGGTAATTGTTATGTGTTAAGGATCCCACTGATAGGTGTCTTGTACACTGTTTAAACATAGCAGACAAATTATATCTCTTTTTGTTAACCATAAGATATAAATGCACAGTAAAATTTAATCTTCTAGTGAATAACTTTATAGTTGTATTGGTGGAAAATATGGAAACTTAATATCCTTGTGGTATGAATTCAGCAAATGAGAAAGTAGTTTTTCCTACTGCAGAATGACTAGTAGTATATAGAAGTCAGTTCATGGAGTATAGCAATCAAACAGTATCCATGGTGCTTATGATATTGGATTATCCATTTACTTTTTGCTGCTGCCTTTTTTAACTCTACCTAATAAACTAGAAGAGTTAGTACACTGTATCTTTACAATTAAAATATATAATATTCACAGAATATAGCAGTTGGAGTAAGATATTTGTTTACCCAGTTGAGCTTGAAATCTGGCTCTGGTTTCACCAAGACCATCCATCTCCACTACATTTAGTCATGTGAGCACCAGTAACTCTGGTCATAATTCAGGTGCACTGGATATTGTTTCCCACATGGGACATAGAGATCTGATCGGGCCTGATAGCTGCATTGTCTAAACCCAGCACCATTAGAAAATGGCTGTATTAAGGGAATACCTGTGTTTCAAAACTTTGTATCACATCTTAAGATGCTAGTTGTGGCAGCAGCATCAGGCCCGATTGTCCATCAGGCCTTAGCTGATACAGGATTCAGCTCTCTAGGCATCATTTAATACATGGAAAGCCCAATCCTTATTCTTTTCAGAGGAGAGTAGCAAGTCAGGTCAGGAGTATCTTTTGGTCTTCCAGCTGAAGTACTGATAACGAAAAGATAGCATAGAAACATAGATAGATTTTCCCGTTCTGTGTTGCTGTGACTTCTGATGTTCAGCAGAATTAAATTTCAGTGATCTGTTTTCCTTTCTCCAGTTGAAAGAAGCACAATGCTCAGTTGCCTTAAGTTGAAGCTTAGTACTGTGCATCATTACTTCTGAACAGCATTCTTTAGAAGTGTGCATAAACCAAGTTTTTATTGGCAGTACTTGAAGCCCATTACCATTCCAGCAGAAGTCTGATGTGCCATTATTTTCAAATCATAGATTCTCCTTGTCCATCTTCAAACAGTAAATATTCACCTGGCTTTTGAAAATTCAGAGTTGAAACTTTTCAGTGAGTTTTGGGGAGTCCTGTGTCAAAGGTGCTGTGACTTCAGTTCTGTTCATTTTTTTAAATTCAGTGTGTATGACAGCCTTTGCGAAACGTAAAGGATATGCTGAACTCTTTCATCTTCTAGTATCTGCATAGGAGAAAGCGGAGACAGGTTTTATAATTCTAGTTATGTGCTTGTTTGAGAATATACAGCCGTCTTCTCTAGGTGAGATTTCTCTTTCCTGTGGTAGTTAAAAACAGAAAGATGTCTAATCTGCTTCACGTCATCTTCTCTCATTCATCTGCCTGAAGAAGGCCCACGTGCTGGCTTTAATACTGGATTTTAAAGTGGGATGCAGTGCCCTCTGGAAATACTGTTACAGAATTACTTCTACAAGTAAAAAAGGAGCATAGGTAATCTATTTAGAGACTGGGCTCTAAATTTTGATGTTAAAGTTAGATATTTTCAGGCCTTATCTGTTTGCATCTTTGGAGAGTGAAAATTAGCAAACAGTAACTTATGAGGCACAAAATACATGAAAATTCAACTATATCAGTGTGTTCACTGTTATGTAATTCTACATGACCACTTGTGGTTTTGCAGGGTTGAAATACAATGATAGAAATTGTCATTTAAGGTAACTCCATAAATATTTTTGTTGATGTATTTCCAGTGAATAGTTTGTGAAGTCGTTGTTACTTGTCCTTGTAAATCTGAGCACTAACTTCAGAAGCTACTGCATGTAGCAGCTTTGGAGAAAAATGAGATAAATTGACTTATATGACTTTTGAACTTAAGATAAGTTGACTTATCTTTTGAAATAGGCAAAAAATTTTGCACCAGTATTATCAAGGTTATTCATGCTCCAGTCATTGTTTTTGTAAGTATTTGATTCCCAGGAATGTGTTTGAAACGCATGAAACACATCCCCAGTTCTGTCCTCGTATACAGATCAGTGTTAAGAAAAGGAATTCTCTGTCACTGTCTGTAGGGAGCAATTGTCCTCCTTACGAATTGTTTTTAAAAAGATGCTCATGAAAAGCAGATTTAGTTTTTATCTGTTTGGGAAAAGATTTGGGGTATGGTTGCAAAGGGAGGTAGATATATGCTGATCGTGTGGCTCACTGCTAGTGAGAAGTGTGGTTCTCGTCTTTCTTGCCCACCATCTTTAACTGACTTGGCTATTTTCTTTTTGTTTAGAGTGTGAATGTAAATTCCTACTAGATTTGTGAATTGAATTTGTTTATTAAATGATTGGATGGTTGTCAAAGCAGGAAAAAATGAGGAGCACGCAGGCATGCAGTAGGGAGCAGAAAGATGGAAGCAGCACAGGACTGCTAAAACTGGAGATGGGAATAAGAAAAGGGAAAAAAAAAGAGCAAACACTCAGATATACCTGAGGCTTCTGTTTGCTTCTGGGTGCTCTAGCTTCTTTTTCTTTCTGATCCTCCTCTTCTGTTTCCTAGAGTTCTGGCAATTTTCAGTCAATCTTGAGGCTTTCTTTCGTGTAGATCATGTAGTATAGTATATCTGTTTTCAGTTATTGGATTTTAGATTGCTCTTGTCCCTCCTTCCTTGGTGTCCCTTGGTTTGCTAATCTCAAATACTTCAAATGACAGTGAGAAGCAGAAAGGAGTTGTCAGTTTGGGAAATGAGGTGCAACATTTAAATATTCCTAAAGGTGTGATAACAAACCTATTTGTAGTTAGTGGAATCTGAGAACAGTGAAGCTATCTATTGGCTTAGAAGCTTTTACACAACACAGCCAACCACAAAGTAATACAGAACTGTCTAAAACTCACTTTTCTGCCTTTGCTGTTCTTGTTTTTAAGCTAGCAAGACTTTGGAGATCTTGTAACTGCTCCCTGTGCTTTTGCTTCTACTAATCTTGTCAGATGTTGTAGTAGTGATAGGAGCTAGCTGTGTTTTTGAGGCGTTCTACATTTGGCACTCTTTAAGTCATAGCTGCAGGTAGAAGAGGTGCTAAGTATGTGCATTGCTATTTAAAGCAATAAAACAAAACAAAAAGCAAATAAAATAATTATGCAGCTTTCTAAGTTATCTATTTCACAAAGAAACTGAAGACAGTTCCAAAATGAAAACTGAATAGAGCATTCAAAGTTGAGGAACTAAGCCTGCTTCAGAATTATACCTCTCTGCAGTATTTGAAGCATTACTTTTTCTTTTTTCTTTTCTGTTTCTGTGTAGAGGAGAAGAAGCCTAAAGTCAGGAAACCAAAATCTGAATTCCCTGTATACACTGTTCTGGAATCAAGTGCATACATACCATCCTATGACCATGGAGCTTCTATAGAAGAGATCGAGGAACAGATGGATGACTGGTTGGGAAACAGAAACAGAACACACAAAAAGAAGGCAAGTTCAAAATCTTTAATGTAGTTATATATTTCAAATGTTTTCATTTGCTTATCTCTTAAGAAAATGAGATGTTATAGGTGCAACCATATTTGTATATAAGTGAAGTGTAGAGAAATTTTAATTGTTGGGTAGAGATTATGTTCAGTGTAATTTGTGTAATGATACTGAAAATGTTAAAATTAGAGATAGTTGATTAAATCATATGAAAGCTCTCTATGGCTTCTAATATAAATACTCTTCTCCTTCTCTAGAAATTAGTAGAACATATTGTTTTCAGGTTACCTGAGGCTTGTTTCTCTCTCTTAATTGCAGTTAATAACATTTTACTTTCCAGAACTGATTCTTCTATGTTTAAAAAAAAAAAAAAAAAGGGTTTTATTATGTTCTTAATATCTGTGTGCATCACTTTTTGACTATGAAACTTATGTATTTTCTATATTTGGTCTGACTTAGAATATGATGTGTGCCTATTGTTAAGATTCTTGCTGCTTAGAGGTCGGGGTTCTTACTGGCAGTTACTGTAATAAACTTCTGGTAAATGTTATTAAAACATACTGGCTTGAGAATGTGTAGTTTTCATCTTAATACTGAGTTATACAGACGACTTGAAAAAAGATGTTGTAAATTGATCTCCTTACTTGAAAATCTGCCTTGCCTGACAGACTGAGGTGAGAAGGATTGTGTTCAGGGTGAAGTTAGGGCAACATGTTGACTTCAGTGTCAAAACAGTGAAAGAAGTTCCTGCTGTTGTCTGTTTACTGTGTGCTGAAGATTTTCTTACTCTTTGATTTTTTTCAAGCCTGTGAAAAACACTGTCTCTGTTTTTAGACAGAATGAATTTTTTTCTAAAATAATTTACATTTTGTATGTCAAATTTAATCATCTTCCAGTATTGTATTCTTAGGCTTCATGACTTTTCAGTTGCCAAGTTTCTTGCTGTGTGTTTTTGTGCCTATCAGTTCTCTTTTTCTATCTTATTTATATATATATGTATATATATATACACACATACATACACACACACATTGTTTTCTTTTGTATTTCTGTATCCAGTTTTTTTTTCAGAAAGTTCAGCTTTTGACTTCTGTGTAAAGAATTGAAACTGAATCCTTACACACTGAGGCATAGTCACACCCAGTTTCTCTAAGCAGGAACTCCTGTCTTTAATTCTGAGATAAGCTAACTGGGAGTTAAGAGCTGATGTTTACAGTCATTGCTTTGTGTACCTTAATGCAAGCAGTCTTTGTGGCTGGAGTCCTTCCTCGGATTTCCATGGAAGTCTTTCTTAGGATTTTCATTGAATGAGACTGAGCCTATTCCATCTATAATTTTTCACCTTCAACACAGAGTGAGTAGAAGTTGTGTCTTCAGAGACACACTGCTAAGGGAACAAAAGTTGTATGTTCATCCTTTCAGACGTAAGAGTCAAAGAAATGAAAACATCTTGAAGAACTCTTACTAGAATGTAATTAACTTGTTTTCCTATGCTTTTTTGTGGAGGTTCAGTGCTAAAGCTGATAAAGTTGACTCATGAGCTTACTTTTAGAATTGCATTCTGTTGCAAATAGGGTTAAAATTTTGGGGACTATTGGGCAGTTTGAAAGTATACTGTGTAGGTAAAGTATTTGGCCTGAGCAAGCTGTGATGAGGTGTGCTTGACAGCTAACAGCTAAACTGCAATGCAACATTTGATATATAGTGATACTGAACAGCAGTTCCATGAAATGTACAAAGAATTGGAGAATGTATGTTTACTGGCTGTAGTGGCTTGCAGGAGCCGTTTGTATATCAATATAAGGATGTTAGAGTCATTTTATGTGTAATAAGCTCACAGGGAAACTGTGCCACAAGTGAATTGTTTCTGACTGTCATTCAGTGGATTTTCTTTTTTGGAAAGATACATTTTCTTCTGCTACACATCACAGATGTGAACATGAAGAGCATCCCCCTCCTACCTCCTTCGGTCACTTCTTTCATAGACATATAACAAAGTGTGCTGGGTTTGTGGGGTTTTTCTTCCTACGTTGGCTTAAGGATGTGCACTGTGTAAAGTACACAAGGCCAGGGAGCAGTAACCCATGTGAAAAGATAAACTGGCTTGATAAAATAGTATACTGCTATGTCATCCATCCATAAATAATATATTGGAGCTCTTGTCCCTGATGTTCCTGTCCCAGGTCTAGGTGATTATGTCTGGCTTTACATTCTCCATGAGCTTCTTTGCTCTGTTGTCATTGGTTTGTTAGAGGAGTTACTCCTTTGTTTGGAAAGTACTGTATCATGCCAAATGCCCAGTTTGAAAAACTGTATCTGCACTCCTTGGAAAACTAAGTTTATGAATTTAGATGCATTGAAGCTGTATAATAGGAAAATTTAGATATTTATTGTTCTTACTTCAGCAGTACTCTGGATTTTTCTCTGGTGTTCTCATCTAAGAATGAATGAACAGGAAGAATAGATCAGCAATAAAAGTCAATTTTGAAAACAATATACACTAAATAGGAAAGGTTGAATAGGTTGGGTTTTAGCCATGAAAAGCTAAGCTAAGTAACTGTTCTTCCAGTCCATTCCAGGCTGTTCTAGGCAGAATGGTAATCGTGTCCTGTTACTTACAGCCTTTTACAAATATATACCAAGAAAGATTTATTTGAAACAAAAAAATTTATATTCAAATTTGGAAGCACGTGTAGGGGGAGAAGTGTAACTAGAGCATGTGACCTTCACCACGTTTGAAACCTTTTTTTGATTGCCTGACCTATTCCTGAACTTCTTCTGTTAAAAGCAGTGCAAGCAGACTCAATTGTATTGGAGAGCATGGAAATGGTGCAGTGAGACTCCTGAGACAACTTCTATATGAGAAATCATGTACTTAGCTAGTGTTAAGTTGCAAATTCATGTAACTCTCTTTACACTGTTCATGCAAACTGCATGACTCAAAGCTGAGAGGAATTGCAAAAAGCTCATACCAGTGGCAAATTCTTTCTGTACTTTTAAGAGTTTTATTCCTAAAGCTATTTTCTTCGGTTGTTGCATGTTAATACTTCCAGATTAGATCTTCTTTCAAGTTATTAAGGGCATATAAGTAGCTAAATTTGCTTCTTAGCTTCTGGTTTTTATTTATGTGTCACCCAAAACAGACTAGAGTAAGTGTTCTGTGTATGCTTGTTAAGACCTAAGGAAAATGGAAAGTTTCACCAGGGCTTCCTTCTTGGTTGTGTTATTTTGTTGACCTTCATGTATTGTTAAGTATGGCATTACTTTGTAGCTGTTTAACCCTTCATTTTCCTCTGGAGCAACCTGTGAAGTAGAGATGGAATTAAAAAGAGCATCTGGATGCGTTACATTTGAACTTGTTCTGTCCTTTCTGCACATGTTCGTGCAAAAATATATGTATTTATCATTTCTGGACTCATTTTATTGATGAATCATTTCAAAATAATTTCTCTCCAAGTGGGATTTCTCTTGTAATCTTCATTCTGATCAGATTTTACATGATTTGTGATGCACGTTTTCATGAGAGTCCATTGTCTATGTGAATAATATGTTGATGCTGCAGGAAAATCTTGGCCCTTGAGAAATCAGTGGGAGGTTTATCATAGTCCTGAGTGGGGCGAGGATTGTAATTCCTTTTGGTTTACACATTCCTCATCTTCTCCCGCTGGAATCTACTCTTTATTCATCTCTGAAGATAGGTTTCCTAGTTCTTCCTCAGTGAGGGATGAATACTTCTGACCTTTTGATATTTGCTTGCTCTGTTAAGGGGAAATAAAGGTGGAGAAGGACAGTGCCTGATCCCTTCCAGCTGGACCAGATGTATCGATTAAAAAATCATGTTTCTCATTATTTTTGTTTTTCATGTAATCCTGCAGCACTTCTTGGCATTTGGGTTTTTTTGATATTGCTGGAACACCTGGCTTGATTTTACTAAAGTAAGAGTAGTCACAACTATTTTTGTGCACAAAGATGGGAAGCTTAGATAACGTGCATCTCCTGCATTTTCCACACTTTGCGATTAAAGCTGATTCAGACTCTTTCTGGTTAAAATGCTCTTAGTATTTTATTTCTTATGGACCATTCATGCATTGTACGTCGTAGATGGGGTGCTGATAACGGAGTGTGAAAAGTTTTACTTGAAAGCTGACTGTGGAACAATGCTATAAAATAACCAAACTTTACCTGCATGAAGTAGGTCTCTCTGCTTCATAACTTTATAAGCAAAATGCTGTACAAATGCTGAATTATTATTCTGTTAGCTTTAAGACAGTGGTTTTGACAATTAAATTTTAGTCATTTTATAACCTTGCGCATTGAGTAATTGCCAGCCAGCCTGCCACCTGCTCTCTTCTGCCTTGAATCTTCCCACATCTGTGCTGCTTTGAAATCTGAGTATGCTTTTTCTTTAGTAGCAAATAACATAGTGCTTGTTCTAATCAGACATCATATGACGGATTACCTGAATACAGTTTCCAGGCTTTTAAAAAATGTTAATGCCTTAAGCAAGTAGTTTGTATCTTAGCAGGATTAAGGTGCTGCATAAACCAGATGTTTTAATAAGTTGGTCTTCTAGGGGAAGGGTTGTACTGTTTTTGTGTGCTATCTGAGGTCATCTAGTTTTGAAATACACAGTTTTCTTTTTCTAAGCAGTGAAACATATATAGTATGTGGTAAGCATGTTTGTATTCTAACTCCCTTTTATTCATGGGACAGATAAATGTGAGCAAGTGGCAGTCTGAGGTTGCTCCTGGTGTCCTGCTGGTGTGCCTCGACCCTGACCCAGAGAGATTGCTGTAGGTTGAGAAAGTAAATCACTCTGTATGCCCATTGAATTTAAGCCTCTATATTGAGACTGCCAGCAACCATACCTGTTAGTGTCAGTTATGATGCTATTCACTAGGAGCAAGTCTGAGCTCATAATACATTTTAACCTGAACTCCAAACTCTCATCAAATGGTGATGACTTTGAATCACTATTGATCTGGGCCATATCGAATTTAGTG